AAAACTCTATTTAAAATGTATCAAAAGAAACCTCTTAACGAGGCAAGTGGTAGGGATGATCGCACCTTCAACATCCAAAAGTTTTGATATCAAATATTGTCACGAAAAATGCTTTTACATTCGAATAAATTTATACATTTTCCAAAAGTTTTAATTCTCTAGTTTTTTAAAACACCATTAAAGTTTCTAAGATATTAAAACCAAAAAGGGATTCATATAAACCCTCAAACAAAGGCACAAACATTTTCATTTTGAAAATAATTCGAATAATTTTCTTAACAACGGATCGGATTTTAGCAAATGAGGTTTCATATGACAACATATCCAATTTTTTTATTTTTTCCTATTACACTTTTACTGCTCTTTTTCCAAACCAATTATAATTTTAATAGCCTTCGTATACAATCCTTTTATTAATTTATTTATCGATGTATTCCTATTAATGTATCACTCGCTTGGATAGGTCCAACACAGTAGATTTTCATTTCTTTGTGTATACATAGTAGTCTTCTTTGCACACTCTACTGGTGCGCTTCGTCACTACGTGGACTGCTGTCCACAGTCATAAAACTAATTGGTCTATAGCTTCCATGACCCCAAAAAAGTATTCGTAGGCCCACAGTACACCATCTGTTCATGCATTCCACCCATAAATGTACTCCAATGTGTATCCCAGGAAATTTTGCATAACATGGCAATTATTAAGAAGCATTATAACTTGATAAAAATAAATTACATGCCAAAAAACTGCCATCTATTAACAATAATGTTTGCTGACCCCCGTGCAGTGGTATCTTCCCAAATGGGCCACACTATCGCATAAATAAATGGGAAAACCACTGACGTTGGCACTCGCCCGGAAAACCACAGATGAGGTGGGTGGAAAACTACCCTCCTTACTTGGCCCCAAGTTACCAGCTACCCACCTTCGACGGGCCAAAATGCAAAAGCCTGTACGATTTAATCTAATCTGCGTCCAATGAAATAAATTCATCCCATTTGCGGGATGGGACTAACAACTCAGTTGCTGTTATTGTTCTTGTTCTTTAGCCTTCTGTGTGGCATGTTTGCGCCGGTTTCTGTTTAACTTTTACCACTAATTAAGTGCTTACACGAAAGATTTCAAAGCAAAAAGGGACACAATGCCGGAATGGCCGGAACACACAATGTAAACGAAAATTGAAAACGAAGGCGGAAACAGCAGGCTGGAGTTCTGGTTCTGGTTCTGGCCCAAAGTCCAAGTTTTGGGACCTGCCTGGGAAAAAAGTGTTGGCGTTTAATTATAAATTTACACGTTTGGCCACCGAAAAAGAGCAACTCATGCAAAAAGGGTAAACACATCACCAGCAAAGTCTCACACACCAACTTGAATGTATACCAGACTTTCCAGATCTGCTCTAAAGCTGAGAAATGAATTTTGGGTTTGTAGAAAACTTGGTAGAGACAACTAGTACCTATTAAATGAAATATATAAAAATTGATCATTTTAGAATTTTCTACGTATCAAATATACTTTACTAAGACTTCAGCATCATAATATTCTGGGAAAATAATAGAAGTTCTGGCTTAAATTCAAAGTTGGGATATTGAAGCCTTAACTTAAGAAGATCAAAATGGTTCCTTAATGGGTTATAAAACATCTATTTAGTGTTAATTAAAAATTATCTCTTTCAATTGAAAAGAAAACTTTAGGAATTATAAAAAATTATACTACTGAGAAAACGACTACATCTTGAACTTAAAGGTAGTATGTATCGACGGGACTGAAGAGCCTCTTTAGCCGTTTTTTACTTCTGTTTACATATTTGGTGTGGCTGGGTCAGTCAGCATTCATGTATGGGCAAATACATAAATACACCTATTTACGTACTTATATTCCCACTTGTTTGCGCTTCGACCCTGTCTATATTTACCAACTTGTGGGCGTGTTAGGCCACGCACCTTGGTAAATAAATTTGTTAGAGCGAAAGGACCCGCACAGAAAATTAAATATGTTTCAGCAATTAGAGTAAAGGGTGTTGAGCCCTTAAGTGGCCCGTTCAATTTCATGGCATTTAATATTCACTTAAATAAAACATTTTGTAAACAATATTCATTTTCTATAAGTAGGGTATAGAGTAACGAATGTGTAAATATGATGAATATGGTTTAATGCTAGCCATTATCTTTTATAGTACAAGTTCAGCAATTTCGATATGAAGAGAGGGCCAGAACATAAGGAATTTGAAGGACCATGAGGTTTGCTTTTCCTTAGAAGCACCCATCATTATTCCGCTGAAAGTGACCTCCATTGTTTTAAATTGCAAGGAACAATCATACTCACAGCCATATGACATTGAATTCGCACAAAGGAAGCCGAAATGGGAGGCCAAACTAATTATTGTTATAAACGAATTGTGCTATTTAATGCTCAAATTGCATTATGAGAGGCAGGCTCATGTTGACATTTTCACGATTAACAATGGCTATCATTATGAGGATGTTGTTTTCGAGCTCATTTCCTTTTTATTATTATGACACATGGGGTTGGGGCTCAAAAGTGCACTTTTTAAATGGAATTATTTCCGGCGGAAATTAAGATTCGACATTGTGTGTGTGTGTGCGGGGTGCCATAATTCCCACTGAATAACCATGCATGGCTTTAATGTCTGATGGCAATCAGACGATGGTCCTTCATCCATTGAGGCGATTGACTGTCAGGCGAACTTTTGTCGATGGGGATGTGAAAAATCATCCTCGCAGCCAGTTATCCAGCTTCCCAGTCACCCCGTCACCCAATCACCCAGTTGCACCCAGCTGCATTGGAAATATGACAACTAAGGGACTCAAATGATAAATGACGCCTCCCCGGGCGCACAATGGGCGAAAGAGAAACAAATGTACGGCAAGATGCGGATAAGTCGACATCGACTATGATGTTGATGACTCGCACATTGTCGCCCCGTGGCTTCTGCATGATGAAGCGAATGAATGAAGATTTATGGGGCATTAGACATATGCATGTGGGTTCCGGCGTTACGGATACTTGCTGCGATTATTACTGGTCGGGCTGCAGTTCGCTCCTCTTCCATGGGAATAATTGCACTAATTTGCAGGGCGTAATTATGGCGCGTCATTAGTTTTGGCGCCATTTTTGCCCCGGAAATACGATAGTTGTAACAAGTACAACTGGTTTTTGTGAGTAAATGGAGCTTTTTCTATAACTGCTTTGATTTAAAGCACTGAATTCAATTACACAAACAGTTTTTATACATCCCGCAATGATTATAAAGTCTTTTAATTTTGTTTCGAAGTGGTAAAAACCCTGTGAAGAACCCCACATACCTGTAAATGTGTAATTCTTACACAGATTTAAGGCTGGCTTTCATTCAAATGAAGCGAACAGTGGCCTGAGGCCACCTCAGTGACAGCAATGAAAGGCATAATTGAATTTTTCTGTTGAGAATTTTTTAATTTCAGCAGCTACCCACATCAACAATACAGCGAAAAACCAGCAGGTGGGCTCTCTTTGGCTTTCACAGCCCTTTGTGTCTGTTTTGGCCCTAATGGAGTTGTTTTCGGGCTAGGATCGATGTTTGGCACATGGTCGGGCCATTACCAGGGCTCACCCCTGTTGTACAAACATCATTAGCAGGGAGGTAATCATCTTAAAGGTTAAGCTCGTTGGCCGGCCATCTGATTTAATAGTACGGCTAATTAATAAAATTTACGAAAATCGCTGTTTAAAAGCCATGTAGACAGCGAGTACCTCACAATATTGGGTTCTTTCGCGGCCCTAATGCACTAAGCACTGCTGGAAATCGGTTCATTAAAGGGCTTAGCAAGTTTTTAAATTTACTTAAATGCTTAAGGACGCTTTGTGCCCCCTCTGCACTTACTTTCAATGGCTGGCAGACTCCACTTAAGCTGTAAAAAAGATCTAGGGCTGAAAAGCCCGTCATACTGGCCTTTGCAAAAAGTTCACCTTAATCCTTTGCGTAATTCCGAATGAATTTCATGCTGAGATTTGTCCATCAAGCTACGTAGCTTTCACCAGGAGGGAGATTAAGATGGAAGAATTAAACATTTTTTACTTAATGCCAATCAAAGTCAGAAATGAATTCCCATATTTTTTTTTGCTATGGGGTATTGCCTTTTTTCGCAGGTAAGGTGGCACTTCAGTTGTCCAATTTGCACTTATATTTACACAGACAATTTGTTTGTACAGCCTGACACGGTGCGAAAAAAACGGAAATGGGCGCGTAAATATGACAGCCTCGCGTACCGACAGTAACCATCATATAGATAGCATAAAAGTTACTTCCTCAGCCACGTTATTAAATAATAAAACGGAGAAATTTACACTCGATTGCATGCATCATTCGAGGTCGATTCTGCACCGGGGAGTGGCCAAAGAGTAGGGGACCGGGCATTCATTTCGCCGATTGCAATTTCAACCAGAAGAATGACGACGTACAAAAAAATAAAGGTGGCGATAATGAAAGGGACGAACAAAGAAAAAATGGCTAACAAGCAATTGAAAGGGGCTAAAAACAAACGAAAACTTTGTGCGAAATTAAAGCGTTGAAAAGGGGAACGGCGAATGGTACGTGTTAAGGGGCATTTCACTTTGGGATCCTGAAAAAATATTGATTAAAATGCTGCGGGCCTAAAAACTAGTAATGAAAGAAATTATGTGGAAAAGCAGCTGTAGCACTGGGCTACAAATTATCGGAAGCAAACATGATTTTGGTTGAGAACCCTAAAGGTATATATTTTGTACACCAAACTTATATTTTTTACACCAAACTTAACATAATAGAATCAAATGCTAAGTAAATTATTTACACTGAAATCTGGAAGTTAGGTTGAAGAAAAATCTTTAAGGAACACAAAACAAGATTAGAGCATATATGACAATTTTCAGGTTATTAAGAATGGTGTCTCGATTACGTTTTTTGCGAAGATAGGTTTTAGGAAACTGAACCGATTTCGTAGCACGGTGTTTTATAAAAAATTTCTTCTGAGAACTGTCAGTGAAATACATAAATTACAAATTGAAAATTTAATTAAAAATGTGTCAAGCTACAAAGAAATTGAAAATGGAATTCTTTTTACCTATTTTTAAAAAAGGTTAGGGCTCAATTTACAATGTGGATTACAATTTGGTTCAAATATTTTATTAAAGATTTACCATAAGACTTAGAAACCAATCAAGCAAGTTATGGATAAGCCTGTAGTCAAAGTCGTACCGCTTGCTATCAAATTTAATGATAGTGTTTCGAGGAAGCAATGATACTGATGAAAAACAGCGAGCAATCATTAACAGCTGGCCGGATTCAACTGAACAACCATCGGCTCAGTCGCCTGCTAGCTGTCGCCATGAGCACGTCCACGTCAGCCGCACTTGGATGGTTAATATTCCTCCCTGTGGTCCTGATGCAGCAGGACACTCAGACAGCCAACTGGTCGGCCCAAATCGAACTGGAGCTTCGGGAACAGCCGGACAAGTTGGCCTATTGCCGGGCCCTCCAGCAAAAGAACCTGCAAATAGTGCTCCAAAACACTGGATGTGCCTCTATTCTGAACGACCAGCTCGCCGTGACAGGCGAACTGCTACTCGAGACTCAAAAGCGCTGCTGGTCCGGATGGGTGCTCTCTGGAAGGCGATGCCGCAAGATAGCCTGAATGTGGAGTCTTTAAGGATAACCAAATCCTCGAAAGTTTAGGCAAACGAAAATAAAGAACACAATGGCAAATTGCACCCAGATCCCAGATTTTCGAGTTGATTTTAGGCTCTCCACTGCCATAAAACCCAAGCATCCATCATATATTCGTGCTAACCCTAATCAAGGAATGGTTCGTTATGTGTATAGACGTCATGTTGGCTTGTCAGGTCGCCTTTGGGCAAATAACAACAATAGCCGACGGATGAGGCTGAAAGAGTGTTGTGAGCCATTTTTGTTTATCAACCTTCCGTATGGAAAAAAGTGTCCAAAGAAGTCAATCAACTTCCGCTTAGCCGTTGCCTTTTTTTGGCCCGTTTGGCCAGTTAGTCCAAGGATTCCTTCCTTTAGTGTCTCGCATGGTTGCCATCGCCACTAAAACGCCAAAATACCGAGTGTCAATCTAAAAACCAGTAACGGAATGTTGGCGCCCATGAAAGCTGGTGTTATGAGTGGTTTCGTTGAACAAGTGTGAAAAGCTGAGAATTTAATATCTGGTGAAGCATGCGGATTTCGTACATGGGCACTGACGTGTTTATACCCACATTTCAGCAAATGATGTGTGCTGAAATAAATATCGTCTCATATGCGGTACTAAAGTAGCTCCACATTGCACACATTCTTTGTTGAAATCATAAATAATAAAATAAAGTTAATAGATAATGACCTAAACGATTGCAGGAAGAAATGTAAAGTAATTCATGGTCAGGAATAAGAAAATAAATAAATATTATTTTATAAGGATCATTTTATTTTTCCATTTCTTTTGATTCTGTATTACTTATTTTAAATTGTGAATTTCTTTATTAATTTTGTATTAAAGTTATATGTATTAGATTAATAATATCATAATTCTAATATACTTGCTCTTAAAGTTCATTGTAAGTTTTATTTTTTTTACATACTGATCTTGGGTGGTATAGGCAAAGAAATCCCTTGGAGCTATATTATATTGATGTAAGCATGCGCAGAACCACGGGGGGTATGGGGAATATAGCCCTCACTCGATTAAGAAAGTATATGTAATATTTATTTTATTCCAAATTTTTTATTTCTACAAAACAACATTTTTTTTGTATTTCCACAACCAATTCTGGATGTACATAAGAAGGAATTTACCCAGATTCAGCGCTAAGCGGTCTCCGTAACACCCCCGTAAGTGTAAAATATATAATTCAACATTATCTGGAGGGGACTTCTACTTCTGCTCAGGCACTAACGAAGCAGAACGCTGAGTAGTCACGCAAAATTGCCGACGACGGCGCGTTGTTACGGGCCACGTGTTCCCGCAAAGTTGCAATCGACCCACAGAGCACAATGCGTCTCTGTGTCTTCGGTGCCGACTTTTCACCGACCATTGCCGACCAAAGTTTTTATTGGCTAAATTCCCTGCCGCTGTTCGCGTCGCAGTTATAAGTCAGCGCAGAATTCTTGACCTACTACGTGAGTTAACTTGGCTATTAAGAAAAAACTTTAACAATAAAAATTCCGACGATTAGTTCAATATTTCTAAAGCACTATGTGGACCTTAAAATAGTTAAATATTACTGAAAATACAGAAATAATCATTCTTTAGAGGCATACATATAGCATAGCAACCATATCAGTGTCAAACATTAAAACTCTTCGAAACAAAATTTAGTTACCGAGAAAACTAAACCAGTAGAACAAAATGGCAGCGTAAGTATATTAATGGATAAAATAGAATTTTAACAAAAGGCTTTCCTCTCCACAAGTACCCAAGATTACAAGCCTGGCGATATTCCATACGAGGAGCAAGATGACCGCAGATTGTTCTGTAAATTCCACTATAAAGGTGTTCTCATTTTGCTCATACCTATAATACTTGGACCTATATTAATCGGACATCCAGTTTTGGTAAGACTGTGGAGAACCCCTGAAAATTCGAATTAACTTCTCTCTTGCAGGTTTTCCGCTTCCTGTACATATCATTATGTTTTTACATATTCTATATCCTAAATTTAATGGCTCGAGGAGCGGTAGCCTTTATCTACATCGTATTCATACCCATTGCGGGCATTGCGGCCTCTGGCCAGGTCGGAACCTCCTACTACAGCGATCTAATATTCTTGGTGTACGGATCTGTTTTCCTGGGCATTATGATGGACAGTGCGAGGCTCAGTGAACGCCTGGCGATGTGTGTTATCGCCATTGTTGGTAGCAGTCTGAAACGGTAAGATCTTAGGTAAGGAAACCCATCACTAAAGATATCCATTCCGCAGTCTTCAGATTTTCATGACCGGTGTCGTTTTTATTGTTGCCTTCTTGGTGCACCCAGCATTAGCCGCTGCCTTTTGGATGAAAGTGTCCCAGGCGGTGATAACGGAATACAATAATGTAGGCAATCAATAGCTCTACTATATTTAGTTATATTATTCGTACACTTTCCAGGCTGGCGTTGTGAAAATGAACTCTGATGAAAAACCCTACGAGGTTGGATCGTGAGTCTTCGTTTATAGTATTGTTCCAATTTAAGGTAAACTGCTAATCCGGTCCTTAGCAAGCCATATCCCACGCGTCCTGTAATCGGCATTTATCTAACCTGTTGCTATACCGGCACCATAGCTGCCTGTCTTTCCCCCTTCGTGAATCCCAACGCTTCCATAGTCGACGCCTACTGGGGGTATTTCTAAACTTGGCGCTTTTAAGAGAGACTTACCTATATTGTTTTTTTTCAGATTTTTTAGAACTTCAGGCATGATGATGATTATGGCGGGGCCGACCATATTGGGGCTGGTTGTAATGGTCCTTTGGATTCACATCCTCTTCCTCGGACTTTTCGGTGGCAGTGTGAAACGAGACCTGGCAGAGCTGGATGGAAATAGGGCGGGCTTCAAGCAGACCATAGCCGACAGGAAGGAGGCTTTGGGGCCCTGGCCCGTATATCCCATACTGGTCTTATTACTGATAATCACAACATTCTTACTGGTTGCCACACGCAAGCCGCGAGTCTTTAGGGGCTGGGGTGATATAAATCTTAAAATTGAATCGGGTTACTCCGTCGCGGTTATTGGCATGGCCATTCTATTTTTCGCGCTTCCGGCCAACTATTTATTCTGCAGGTATTACGTCTGCCGGCGGCCGACTAAGGAGGGCACTGCTCCCTCACTTCTCGGCTGGAAGGCGGTGAATACCAATACTCCTTGGGCCGATATCTTCATGCTGGGCGCCGCCGTTTGCTGTATCTTTTGTGCCCAGACATGCGGCTTTATTGCCCTCGTGGCAGAGTCCATGGGCAGCAACGAACCTAAACTGGATGGGCCGCAGTTCATTGCCGGGGCCCTGTTTGGAACCCTGCTGACGAATCTATCACCGGGCTCTACCGTGGCCAGGATAGCTCTTTCCACTATCTCAAGAGGGGTGAGTTATATTCCTACAAAGATATCACCACGGATTTGTGATCCAGCTTTTAAAATAAAATTATACTAAGCCGCATACTCTAGGAGTGAATACACACAGAAAAAATATTTCGGATAGGTTCTTCCGATCGTTAAAGTTAGGCAAGATCAAAATTATCTCAAAACCGAAATGTAAGTTCTCTCGAGACTACTTTTAGCTCTATTTTGAGAAGGTAAGATCTTAAATTGAGAACATTTCATCTTTGGTACCTTTCGTTCTCCTGGGTTGCACGTTTTTCATTTAGGTTATACATTTCAGCATTTTATAATATTAAAAAACGCCAAAATAATCTCAAGGCAGCTAAAAAATATTGCTGTCCCTGTCCAAAGACTTTCAAACGTGATCTGCTTAATAAGCAGTCAGCAAATTAGGAACAAATCACAAAATGTATCCTTGCATACATAACTACAATTGAGTTGATATATGACTTTTGAATCACGAAACCTTACCCAGAGAACTATGAGAGGTAGAATTTTTCTGTAAATATTTTACTTACTCTACTTACAGGGAGCTAGCTTTGCCCTGCCGTTCGCCACCGCACTGCACAATCAGTTTTTGCTGCCCGTGAGCTGCCCCGCAAACCTTATTGTTGCCGGCTGGGGCAATATAAGACCCTTCCAATTCGTAAGTACTTGGAGTTGACAAATAAATTGAGCTCTCATCCGCCTTTCTAGTTGTTGGCCGGAAGTGTCCTGGCGATTTTCATGTTCATTACGATAACTGGCTTTACCGCGTTGCTCGCCAGCAGTGCTATACCATTTTTCTTTAACTAATTTCATCGTTTTCAGTGCATGCTAAACCCCAAATTTCTGTTTCGATCTCGACCGCATTTAATAAAATTACCCAGTAAGAAATCTGCATTGCAGTGTGTTGAGCTGCCTTGTTGACACGTTTAGCATTCACAATCGGAGCAAAAACTGGACTGGGATTGCTTGGCAACAGCTGTTCAACGGACATCTATCTCTAGGAAAGGTGCGGTGAAAACAAAATACTGTTGTCGTAGTTGTTTTGAAAAATATAAAAAGAACATGTATCATACTGCAAACAAACAAAGCCAAAACCTTCGGGCACAGGTGCATAAAGTTTTTCACTCTGACTTTTTCAAATGAATTTCAAATTGGATATTATGTGTAGTGCAAGACTTATATCCGATGTTTATTTAATAGAGCTCAACTAACAAGTAAGGCACATTTATTTAATTGTAGTTTGGGTAAACATTAGATGGTCTTTTGAATTCATAATTAGATCTAAGCTTCAACAAATAGTGAATTTTTCAAAAATTGTATTTATATTTGAACATGTTTTTCATATATGTAATGAGATGTTTATTATAAATATAAGAATAAAATATGAATTATGTTTGTATGGTATTTGTTAATGTATTTTTTTTTTAATTTAAAGCCACTCTTAATGAAGACAAAATAGGAAAAACACAATGAAGATAACCCAATATAAACACGATATTAAAGAGCTGCCCGAGGGTCAACGCTTTTAGGCAAATTACACAGTTTCGCATTTAGGGTAATCCCCTCCTGGTCATTCGCACCTAATTCACATTGCTCTAATCCAAACATTGCCCACACAAGTGTTGGCACTAAATAATTCATTTGTTAATTTAGACGAGGACCATGGGCGTCTATATATGTACGTATGTATCTCTCTAGCAAACTCTTTCCGGCTGAATACTTTCCGGTTCGGTGGTGGACCTATTCCGCTCCTGCTAAAGTACCTTAGCGGCTGGAGTTCCTGGCGTTACCAGCTTTGGGACACATTTATATTGAAACTATTTAAATATTAATTTCGTGGCACACAGTTCGTGAATATTCATAACACTCACGACAAATCAAAATTGCACATTTAATTGATTTCGCCAAGGTCAACGGCCGCTCTTTTTTGTCTGCGAAAATGTTGAAAAATCGAATACAACCAAAATTTTGTTTAGAAACATCACCTGACATTAGAACTATTTATTGGGTAAGTCCCCCTTGTGCTGCTTACAGTTTTTTTCAAAAGCATTTTTCTGTAAGCCCACTAGTTTATTTATGTTTATAGTGTTTTCTATAGAAAATATTGGTCCAAATATTGCAACCATAATAAGAAATAATCTGCATTTAGTCACTTTGCCACTTCTTATTGTGATGCCTTACAATTTGTTATAAAAATCCCATGGGCTTTCATACTACTTAGTCAAAAACGAATTTCCATCTTTAAGTCATTGTGAACCCAAAAGGGGAGCGCATAAATTATGCATATATATTCAAATATCATGCACGCCTTAAGCTGATTTTCCCCGCTTGCAAATACTGAGCTCACTGGCATTTCCGCATTCCCAAATCTAGGCTCATTATCCTTCTTGACATCTGCCCAGGTTTCGAGGAAAAAATCGGCACAAAATTATTCCCAGCTTATAACCATTGTGCTTTTTGTTGTATAAATATAGCTGAAGACTTGTGGCTATACATTTAAATAGCGTATTAAAATAAATATTTATTTTGCAATCTGTCTATCGCCTTTTTTTTGTTGTAAATTTGTTACATTTAAGACTATAACATATAATATAAGCCATGTAGAAGTCTATTTATTTTTAGTTAGTCAAGCTTAAACTGAAGATAATGTTCAATGTTTTAATTAAAATGTTTTCTATAAATATCTTTCCTGCTGTGCTGTCAGGTGCAATCGCGTCTGTGACTGATTTTGAAATGCCGACAGGATTCGAGAGAAACAAAAATTAAAAGGCAGTGTGATATTTTTGCCCATTGTCTTAAAACAAAACAATGCAAATTTGGATATAAAACAGACAGGTTTGAAAGGAAGAAAAAATTTGCGTCACTACAATGCGCTTTAAAACAAACATGGTGTCGGATTATTCACCTGCGGCGCCATTATTTCCATTCATTATAACTTTCAGAGTCTACTCTCTTTATATGCATGTGCTCCGAAGTATAATATCTTTTCTGTTGTTGTTATTTGGGTCTTCTTGGGCTGCATTGTTTGCTTCATAGACAGACCCCTAAGGTTTCAAGACAACTACCAAACATGAAGATGAAGTCGCACATTGTCTTCTGGTAAAATGTGGTCTGGAGGAGAAATGCAGCTTCTATGGTTTTTTTCAAGCCTTTTTATTGTATAGTAATTCTAACAATAAAATTGAAACAAAGTATTTTATCCAAATAATAAGGGAGCATTCAATAATCGCAACATATAATCATTGAATGATGAACCAAACCTTTTATTAAATTTCATAATTATGTCAGACAAGCTTTCAGAAACTCTTTTTTTTTAGACCTTTTTACTAAAAGCTTAAATTACAATCGAACAATTTATTATGTAAAATGTATTTTCCTAATTAAATCAGGCTTTTAAGTTTACATATAAAATCCGTATTATAAACGGCCATTCAGCAATACATTTTTTCATACCTTTATGTGAAAAGCCTCAACTACAACATAATGTTTATTATTAATTCGATTCATAACGATTTCCAAAACAATTAAACAGTTAAGATTAAATCGAATGTCTGACATTTGTCACAGATAAGAACTGCGAACAATACGCCTATTTTTTAAGCGCTGACTGGATGAGGAATTCGGGCAACAAAACACACATTGAAGAGGAAACTAATGAAATTAAAACGATTTTATCGGAGCAAATAAACAATTGCCGTTGATGTTGATGGCGTCGCGCATGTGCACACACCAATAATCATGATGGCAAATTGTATTAAATTTATGTTCTATGCGATAAAGGCCTCATTTCTGACCAGTCATAATAAGCGTCCTATTGGTTTTATGATGTTTTTAATTTAACCGCCGAGTGAAAAAAGAGCCCTTAAATTAGCACAAAAACAACGACGGCAAAGTCAGAAGGGAAAATTCATTTGCCGGCGGAAATCGGGCAGCCATGACGCCATTTTTCAAAATGGTTGTCAGTGTCCATTTTTATTTGCCTTTCCGTCCGTCAGTCAGCCGCTCTATCTCTCTCTGTCTGCCTGCCTATTGCTGTCTCTCTCTAGTGATTAGCTGTCACGAAGCTGCGGCGAAAAGCAAAAATGAATTATTATCGCGTTGCGTTCCAAATGTTGACATAGATTTAAATTATTTGTAACAAAATCAACGAACTGTGGCCGCTCCGCATCCCCTTATCTGCTTGGGTAATCCTTCAGTCTTCTCACGCCCCAAGGTCCTGTTGCTGATTTGATTGCCCAGCAAAATGTTTGGGCAAACACCACAAGACCAGCGTTTGAAATGCTCTTTTAAGGAATATCCTGGAATTAACAGCTAGGAGGCATATGGGAGGCATAATAATTTAAAAGTAGGTTGAAACCACTTATGTCCTTTAGTTCCCTTAATATATCTTTAAAACGGAAGTAATAAGGTTATTGTTATAAATCGAATAAGGACCTGTTTCTTGAGTCTCTGATATCTGTCTGCCTGATAATGTTAGAGACTAGATAAAGTTGTAGTAAAAGCAAATAGGTTTTCCCGACTCCATTAATTTATTTCAACTAGAAACAATTTCAAAGTGCTGTTAAGTACTGAACTGAGCTGCTTAGCGAAATCACAGGGATTGCTTGGATTATTTCATAAGCTTACTTTCGGGATTATAAAATTTAATATTATTATGCTTTGTGATTTCTGTCGGAGTTAGCCATCACATTTCTTTAGCAGGAACTTTTTTGTCGAGGAAAAGTTAACCGACACTCGAGAAACTGGACCTCTTAGTTCCATTTTTACATAGTAGTGTCTTTAATATGTAATATATTCATCTAGCCTGCTTTATGTCGAACTTTTAAAAGTTGGAGTATTAGATGTAAAAAAAATTATTCTTTTTCAAACATGTTTCATAGATGAAACATTACAGCCTTTTATTACAGATAATAAATCTAAGTCTTATATTCTAAGAACTTGACTAGAGCGTTTTTTTCTTTTACAAATACTTTTAAATCTTTGGTAAAGAATAAATAATATTCCATAAAGTCTTGCTTGTTTAAAATGGCTTTGGAAAATGTTCATCACGTCTTTCCTTGTAACAAGAAGAAGCAAACTAATAGGCTCAATTAATAAACTTTCTTTGGGCGTGGGAACTTGCGATGGTTGGTTAGCAAGTTTTCCTCCAGCCCATTTATTTCAAAGGCTGGTAGTAAACATTTCTTTGCAAATCCAAGACCGTGGCAAGGCCAATGGTATTGTCATTACTTTCACTGCCATCTCGGTGGTAATTAGGCTTCAGGATATAATTTCACTTTGACCAAGTTGTCATAATGAATATTTCTAGGTCAAATATAAGGGTTAGGGTTATATTTCTGTTTACTAGTTATGTCATTGTTTTTATACTTTCCCATTCTTTTTACCTTATTGTCATTAAGAATTATATAAGAACATGTCTTTGTTGGTGGCAAAGTTTTTCTTTTTCTTCCAAGCCATTGAAATTTGCCTACGTCTTTTCCGAAAACCTTGTGGTAATTTCTGATAAATACCCATTTTTCTGTTTGAAAGAAAGGGGAACAAAGAAAAGCTTGGATGTCAACAACAAGGATTGCTTTTCCATTTTCTGCTTTTATAGTATCTTCTCTTCCGTTCCGGTGTTCCCTTCCAACTGCTCATTACCTTGAACCAGCTTCAATGTTTTCCACTTGTGGCATTAATTTCTGCTGTGTAAGCAGATAAATTGCAAAATGTCAAAAGTTGTTGACAGTCATTGGCATCAAAATGGAACCCAGTCACTTTGCCGGACCCTGACTCTTCGAAAACAAGTGACGGAACCTATCAAAGAGCAAAGTAAACTCAAACACTTTATAAATTGTGCGGATTGACGCAGTCAGATTATGACTTAAGCATTGCAGCAATAAATATTTTCCTCAACAGCTTACAAATGAAAAGGTTGCAAAACGTGATTAGCGCTCTTAATGGTAAACATATTTATATATTATTACTTCTAAAGAAAAAGGGTATATCACATTCGTCGGAAAGTATTTAACAGGTAGAAGGAATCGTTTCCGACCCCATAAAGTATATACCTTCTTGATCAGGATCCCTAGCCAAGAAGATCTAGTCATGTCCGTCTGTCCGTATGAACGCTTAGATCTCGAAAACTATAAGACCTAGAAAGTTGGGATTAAGCATGCAGATTCCTGAGATTCCTGCGCAGCGCAAGTTTATTTCCAAAATGTGACACGCCTACTTTAACGCCCACAAACCGCCCGCAAACTTCAAAAAATCGTACATATGAACGCGGATATCTCAGAAACTATCAAATATAGAGAAGTG